CCACATCATCAACAATCTCAAGGCCTTCAAATACACTCCCCCCCCAGCCCTGCCTGCTCCTGTAGAAACACACCAACCCCCCAAGGTCCTGACGCCAGAGCAACTAAGCGATGAAGGTAATAAATGTGTGTGTGACTTTGTGTTGGTGTCCAATGTGCTGCTGTTATTGAAAGCTAAGAAGCTGAACAAGCATATTATATTGGTATGGTCAACAACAACTTCTACATTTGTCTCTCTTGTTTTTGTTGATGCCATCTTACGTTGTGGTTTGACGGTGGAGAAAAAGCTATTGTTGCTTTGAAAATCTTTGCAATCATAAAACCAATTGTAAAAGTTTTTTTTCATATTTTATGTTAAAAAAATATTTTTTTAAACCTTAAAATCTCCTCTTTACACAAATGCTCTGGGTTTATGAACAATTTGCCTTGTGAGCTTAAAAATTCATTATTGAACTTGAAAAATACTGAAAATGTGTAAACACACTCGCTGGAAATGTTCAGGCACATCTCATGTTGTTCCTCTAACAAACATTTTGCTTGATTGATCCTCCAGTCCAGTCGGCTAAGTAGATCTTTTCCCATTGGAAGATGTATTTGTGTCTCTCTCCCAATAGGAATGTTTCAGTCTGCTGGAGAGACCAGTTCATCCGCGGTACTAACAAGTGAAGATTTCCTGATCACTGTGGAGGAGGAAGCTCCACCTCCTCCTCCTCTTCCTCCGCCTCCAGCTCTACCCACCCCGGGAAAACAACCCAGGAAGAAAAGGGTGAGAGATACTGCATATATAAATAATTTAATAAATAATAATAATAATGTTGTTATTGATAACATATTATCATCATTTAAATAATGTTTTGCATGTTTTTTCTTTGTGTATTTTTAATCCAGGACAGCAAAATAGAGGGCACTCGTGGTCGCTCCACCAAGAGGAAGAAAAGGACCATAGCTGACGAATCAGCAGAGTGTGTCATCGACTGGTGGTCCAAATACTACGCATCTGTGGAGAAACAGGTAGCACTGATATCTGAGTTATGTTGCAAAAGAACCAAAACGTGTAAGTAAAATAATGAAACATGTGCCCTTCTGTTTTTGTTCCAGGCCAAACAGGACGGCTCTTTATTCCCCAAGGTCTTTGAAAAAGGTATGAACACCTCTGATGGGACATTAGGTTATCTTTGAACACTTGGTTGAAATTAAGTATTATTTTATTCTTTATCGGGTTTCTGACACCAGAAACATTACAGTTTTTAAATAACAATCACAACATTCTGACTAGCAGCTATATTGAAGGTAAAGGTAAACAATGGTAGAAAATAGGAATGATTTCCAAAAACATGAAGTTGTGTTGAATAAAAACCATAGTGCATTTTTATTTTTGCCGCATTATTGTGAATGGAGACCTTTGCAAAAGTCCACTTACTTTAATATTTTCACCACTGATACTATCAATTTAGATCTTATGTAATATATAAATATGCAAGTGGTTTCAGGATGGGTTACTCAATCATTTTCCCCCCGACCCACACACACATTGTTGTGATTTGCAGCTTTGCCGTTGGAGGGCTTGCTCAGCACTGGAATAAGCTCCTTAGGTAAGGACAAAGACATGCAGCTAAAATAGTTAAAGATTGTCATTAAAGGTATATAAGGTACAAATGTCAGCAGCATTTAAAGTTGGCCCCTTAGCAAGAGAGAGAGCAGCAACAGTCAAGCAAAAAATAATAATACAAATTTAATTTAATTTTAATTTAATTTTAAAAAAAGGGGACAATGCTATAACTGCACTTAAGCTTGCCTATGTTTCAGATGCTGATGGTCTCTGGACAAATCAGTATTTGGCAACCTTTGATTGAAAACATGCTGCATACCTTACAGTACTTATTGGATCATGGAACTAATTGGTACTTTTTAAACAACTCTTGTGTCACTTCTAGCCTTATGAATGACAATTGGGATCATGGTGTTTCTTAAGCTGTTAAAACGTGATGGATTTGTTATTTTTTTCTTGCAGTTAACTGCTTTGACATCACAATGCAAAAAAATGTTTTTGATTTCTCTTCACATCCATGCCACTTCGCTTTGTGTCTTGTTTGTTTCATCAGTCAGCTTCTCAGATGGAGACAAGAAGAAAAAACTGAAAGAGAAAGGAACCCTGGAGACAAACATTGTCCAGTCTACTAAATTAGCCACACTAAAGGTAATTAGTGCATAAACACTGCAAGCTCATCAAGGTCACAGCAGACACTGACTGATTTCCAACTAGATGACCAAATGAAAGACTGCTAAAAACAAATAGAGTAACGGACAACAGAAAACACAGGTTAGATTGTATATCGACTGTTTTGATTGACAGCTTCCTTGCTCTCCTATTAGTTGTGTTACACCTATCAGGATATACACTGAACAAAAATATAAATGCAACACTTTTGTTTTTGCTCCCATTTTTCAAGAGATGAACTCAAAGATCTAAAACATTTTCACAAAACACAAAAATAACCAAT